TTGTTTCTATGATGTAGGGTGTCCGCTTTGTGTTCTTTGATTCTAGTTACTAAGTTGCGTTTAGTGGACCCGATGTAGAATACTTCGCTGTTGTCTCTATGATCGATGATGGGCACAGAGTATACTCCCGGAAGTCTGTTGCTGTCTGGAGCGTCTTTTCCGTTCCTAAGCCAATCGAATATTGTGGCGCACCTCCTAAATTCCAAGCGGACATTCTTTTTCTTGGCTATCTGGTTGTATATGGCCTTAAGTGCCGGGTTGTACGTGATTGGTATGTACTTAACCAGGGAATCATTGGAATGAGAGGTGTTGTTGGATTGTTGTTGTAGTACCTTGTTGTTTATCTTGCATAAGACGTTGTGATAGCCATGTTGTTTAGCTATGTGCTCTATGCGTCACATTTCAGAATTGAAAGCTGATTGTGACGAGGAATGTGAATATGCTCTTTTGATTAGTGTTTTGAATGCTGCCATCTTATACTGTGATGGGTCACATGATGTTGCAGGTATATACAAAGGTTGAGCGGTTGGTTTATGATACACTTCTGTATTGATAAATGATCAATTCTTATTTTGTACTGTGGGGAAAGTCACTAATTCATAAAGCATATACTAGTTGCGTTGAAATGTGATTACTTATAGTAATATAGTGTGAAAACCTGAGGGCCCTAGGCCTCATTTAATAATTTTTATTAAATATGCTTAAATATTGACAAAAAATATTACTTCGTTTTTGGGGAAAAATTGGTGTTTTAGTCGTGGGAAAAGATAGATAACAGATGCTACTTCCGTTAAAGGAAGTCCGTACATCCTCTGTTTTTCCCTTATCCGTTAAAAATCTCGCTCAGATGGGAAATGGTTACCCCTCATTCGTCCCCCTTTCGTCGGTTCTCACGAAAGAACTACTGGACGATGATTGGACGAAAATTTTAAAATAAAAGGAGAGATTAGTCAGAATTCGGGGAGTTCTTCGACAGATCCGAAGCATCTAAACTCCACGCAGTTTTCCTCCTGATGGCCAACGCCCAAAACGGAGTCCGATAGACGAAGTCCCGAGTCTACACTTAGAAGAAGTGATATTTTTATATTGTGTGCACGAATTGATCTCCCGTATGAAAGTAATATGAACCCTATCTACAAGGTGTCCTCTACCTACAGAAACGAAGACGACGACAACTAACAGGTCGTATGTTTAGAATCATTTTGTGAGCTCTCTCTCTCGATCGCGCATTAGCATAGAAAAGGTCGTAGCCTCTAGCTTGTCGCTAAATGATTGTAATCGAATTTTGTGTATTCGTTTGTTTGAGATTTATTAAATTTACTCTTGTTTTATTTTATAAGAATGTCTCCTCAATTTATTCCGAATCAGATCGCAAACGCGTGTTAATCCGCGTATAATAAGTTTGATTAACTGGTGTCAAGGAATCCTGACGAACATCTGAACTTCTCGTTCAGATCATTTTAAAATACGCTCTCCTATGTAAACTTTTTTTACGATCGGATCTTACGATTCGAAACTCGGAGAACTATTCTCACGGAATAGGCCGATTAAGTGGTACTAACGAATTAGTGTACCCCCGGCTGATCTCACAATAGTAATAATATAGTTAGAGTAATAATAATGAGATGAAACATATGATTATTTTGTTTCGTAAACTGACTGTTTACTCTAATGCTAGTTAACTCTATTCATGTACTCAATGAGTATTGAATGATAAGTATGAAGTGTTTAATCTTGACAACCGTTACAACTTTTATGTTAACAGGTTTGCGATGAAAACAGGCTCGTAATTCACAAGGATATTCTAGCCAAAACCTTGAAATTAAGCGTGTTGCTGGAGATTTGCTGACACGTTTATTGATCGTTGCTGTTGCATTAGACAAAATGTAGAGAAATGACTGCACAATCAGTGAAGGAATTGAATTATGGTTTGGGTAAGTTACATTAGCCAGAATTGTTTTTGAAATCAATCTAATTTTAAAATTGTGTTCATTAAATTCATTAATTTTATACGTCAAATGATATTATTAGTTTTATAGTGTTCAAAATGACTTGCAACAACTTGGGATCACTGGAGTCACACAAACAGCCAAAGATAGATTTGATATGGCTATCACAGACTATCACTTTTTAGCAAATCTTATGGACCCAAGATACCAGGGTGCAAAGCTCACAGACAGTATGAAAGATACTGCACTAACTGTGTGCCACACTCACTATCCAGATGCTATGCCTTCATTTTTAAAATACTTGGCAAAAACTAGCCCATTTCTGCAATACATGTTTGCAGAGTCTGTGCTAACTAATATCACTCCTCTTACATGGTGGCAGTCACTACATGACAGAATTGATGAACGTCTTTTGAAATTAGTTACACAGCTGCACACAGCAGTGGCTTATTCAGCGGAAATTGAGAGAATTTTCTCTACTTATAGACTTGTTCATTCAAAACTTAAAAATCGACTTGGACAGGAAAAGGCAGCAAAGCTTGTTAAAGTTTTCAAGCATCTAAACAAACACTACTGAACGTTGCACATTTCTGAAAATAAGAAATTGTTCAAAGTGAAGAAGCCACTGCTGTCAATCATGTTTTGGTTTCGTACATGCAAATCTTAAAAATGCCATTTCATAAAGAAACATTTAAAAAAAACTGTATTTTATATTAAATAAAACATTCTGTACATTCTTGAGTCTTACACTGAAGTTTTTCTTCTTTTTTTCCTATTATACTAGATCCCAGTGTCTTATTTCCAAAGAAAAACCGTGTTTTAAATGTTTTAAAACATTTGTTTTAAATCCGATGCCTGTGTTTTAAAACATGTTTTAATAACTGTTTTAAAACATTTTTTAAAAATTATGCCAACCCTGCATAAAATGATAACTGTATGAAAGTGGGTCTAAAAATATGTTCGATTTCGCGCAAAAACGCAAAAAACCGTATAGTGTACTCATGACAGTTGCTATCAGTTTATTGACATTCACTAGAATTATTAAGGACAATATTTTTTCTGGTTGTGATTTATTTCCTAGCTCTGTCTTACTTTTTCTTATCATACATAATATCTTTTTCATTTGCCACACTGCAATGCATGGAAAGCTCAGCAATGCTGTATGGCAAAATCATAATCAGCCTNACAATGTTTTAAATATAAATAAAAATGCTTTATTACATAAATTTAGTAAATAAACTTTTTCTGACTTGTGAAATAAACGTAAACGTGGGAATGAGAAATTTGTCTCACTGCCATGGGTCAGAAAAGCACGTGACATGCCGACTTTTATCACTAAGAGTTTCCAAGGCCTAATTAATTTCCGCTCGGAAAGTTTTAATCTATTGATTTTTTATATTAAATAATGATTTCCACGTAAAAGCGAATCTGACAGACGAAATAATTGCCGGAATAAATACCTCCAAACAACGTGCTTTTACAGAAAAACTGTATGAAAAAATGAAAATAACCAAAAAAGGCTTTTATTTGATAAATATAGCTGAAAGGGATTGTTATTCTTTCATTTGACAGGCATGAAATATGTAATAAAGCATTTTTATTTTAATTTAAAACATTGTTTTAAAACAGTACTTTATAACGTAATATAAAACTGTTTTAAAACAAAAAAAACAAAGGTTTCTAAATGACACGTGTCTTATTGTTATATTTCAAAAAAAAAAAACATAAATTTGCCAACCCTGATTTTATGTAACAGCTGTATGAAGATATATGGCAGGTAGTTGTATATCGACAACTAGCTTAATTAGCTAAACTAAGCTTAAATTAGCTTAAAAGCCTAATTTTTAAAATTAGGTCTAGGTAAACTAAGCAATGGATAATTTATTATTATAATGTCCTTCAAGTTAATGGATTGTTTACTCACTTATACCCATAATATAAAATATAAAGCATACCAGTTTTGATGGAATATTATTACATAAATTGTTTTCGTGCAAGTAATGAATAGATACAGTACAGCAGTTATTTTCGAGATTATCACATACTTTAAAATGATACGAGAAGAATTAAGAGATATTTTTGGTGACTATTTTTATGCAATTTTAAACCTGACTCAATTTTTCGGAATTAATATCACGAGAAATTCATCAGAAAACAAATTTAAAGTATATTATCGATTTATAATATACGTTGCGTTAAATTCATTTTTGTATCAAACTATACTGGCAATGGCGAAAAAATCAGAGAACGAAATCCACTATTGTGAAATTTCATTCCCTCAAAATATATCAACAATTCTGAATTTAATCGTTATGTGCATGAATATTTCGATATCAGTTTTCTTATATCTTGTTAATTCTCCAAACTTCATTGACAATTTCCACAAATTCTTAAATATACTTAAATTGTTTGCTCGTTTATCATCTGACTTAAAAATGGACGATCCAAAATATCATAAAAAAGCCATATTCTATTGCCTGTTCAGCTACATTAATTTTTATTTTATTTTCATAAATGCATATATGTATTTCAGATATAGGAAAAAACAGATATGGAACGATTTTGATATATTTTGTTGCTGTTATTTTGCTATTTTTCTTGGATATATGTTAGGAATTATAGTAATATTCGCATATGTTGAATACACAATAATTCTCGTTATTACGCATGTTAAACGTTCTTTTTCAACTGAGACACACGAAAGAAAATTAAAATCAACCAAAGATGTCATTATTATCCACCAGAAAGGAATAATGTTATATAATTTAATTAAAATTGTTGATCGCATGATTGGGGCAATTAATATGGAAATAATACTGGCTATTATATGTGAAGCCATTCCCTGTTTATACGCAATTCTTTTTATGGATGGTCCCACTTATATTGTATTCGTCTGTTGTATTGTTTTTGTTTCGTTATTTTTTCTTCTTATTTTTTTTATTTCAGTTTTTGTTCCTTTATCTGTAGAAGTAAGTATTAATATTTCTATAATTTAGTACTGTCATATGTTTAAATAAATGAAATATTGATAAAAGTTTATTGTTTGTGTAGTTATCCAAGATGTGGAATTTGTTGATATCACTCTACTTTCAAGTGATCGATTCGAATTCAGAATTAAAGGTTAGATTACATTTACAAGTTTAAGTTAATTATATTGAAGTATTGTACAGCACATGTGATTAACAATTGAAATTTAATGTAGATCTTGAACATGCTTCAAATTCAGAAAAGTACAAAGGACGGAATGAGTTGTAACAAGTTCTTTATTTTCAATAAGATGTTTATTATAAAAGTAAGTTTAATCAAACAGACATAGAAATTAATT